TGAGCCTCAGTATGTAGAAGGCTAGTACATCTGAACTGTGAAGGGCATGGGGTACTGGACATTAGGTTTTAAGAAAGAGGAGGGGTATGTGGAGGACTGTGGATAGTTCTATATTTTTTCAATTGTATGGTAAAATATACATATCATAAAATGTACCATTTAAACCATATTAAGTGTGAATTTTGGAGGCATCAAGCACATTGATGAGGTGCACTTACTGTCCCATCCTCATCCATCTCTATCTTGCCAAAGTGAAACTCCCAAACAGAAACTTTATTAGGCAGAAATTCCAAACACACAGAAACCCCGTGGCATCCCCAGTGCTCGAGCTCTTCACACACACAGAAAAGTGACCACAATGCAGTGAGCACTCACGCACTCACCCCGTGGCATCCCCAGTGCTCGAGCTCTTTACATTTGTCTTTTGTATCTGTCGTCTCTGTCTCTCCATCTACATAAACAACTGACTCCCTGCATTGGTCTTCTATTCTCGAGTAACAAATTGCCACAAACAACTACCATAGGAACAACTCGTGCATATTTTCTGACTTTATAGATCAGGAGTCAAAGCTTGGCTCTGTCTACTTCAGGGTGTGAGACAAACAGCAATGCAGAGGCTTGGCTGAGGAACTGCTGTTGAGTTTGCTTAGGTGTTGGTTGGAACCATTTCTTGGTGGGTGCAGAATTGAGGACATGTTTTTGATGGCCACTGGGTACCTGGAGGCTCTTCCTAATTCCAGTTTTGTGGCTAACCATGTGCATTTTAGAACAACGTAACTTGCTTTCTCAAGATAGGAGAATCTCTGGAATCAATTAGCAAGATAGCCTATGATGGTTAATCTTGTCAATTTGACTCAATGTAGAATGAACTAAGAAAGCAATCATCTGGGCATACGTGAGAGGGATATTCTGGATTATATTAGCTGAAGTGGGAAGACAAATCCCAAATGTACAGTTTCATGTAGCGAGCTCTTAGATATAAGGAAATCTGAGGGAAACCTTTCTTTGCCTTTTCTGAAGAGTTACTATTAACTATATTCTTATTGTAGCTAAAATTCCTTGTGGGAGGCATAAACAACATCCGGACCCTGCTCCTTTGGTCCCTACAACAAACCAAGGGCCAATTTCACCAAACTGCAGTCTGGGAAACCAGTGAGTTTATTGGGATTACTTACAGAGCAGTGGGTAAGTGTGAGTGCTCCCCTCCTAAGGCCACACTGGAAAGTCTCCATCCAGGTGTGGGTCATGACTTTCCCACAGCCGGGCAAAATGGTAAGAGCCCCTCTCCCTGGCTTCCTCAGTTTTTATACCCTTAGTCTCTCCCCTCATGCATCTAGGGTCCACTGGTTGGTTGGGAGGTATGGCTGACTCTCCCTGTCCTTCCTTGCTGAGAGTCACAGTCAACCAGCTTAGCTGTGGTGATGCTAGGCCAGTGGGTGCAACCAAGCTTGGGAAGATGGCATCTGTCCACGGTGTGCCTGTTGGAGGAGAGTTCTACACAATACTTATATAATCTTTTAAGCTTCGACTATTTTGTGATTCCTTTGTTTTACTTACTAGGCAAATACCCTGAACTGTAGCCTGGGATGCTTTACTACCCAGGGCTGTTTTATTGCTCTGTGATGTGTTCACTACTCTGATTTTTTTTTGCTCTGTACTATCTTGAAGCTTTGTGATGCTTTTCATTCACTATGACACAGGGCCTAGGTGCCAGCCCTAAAATGATGATGTAAAAAGTCCTGTATAATCTGACTTACATGTTGCTGGGGGCCCAGAAAATCTTGAAGGCTTCGTTGCTAATTCTGGTCCCTTATGATTGTGAAAGAATGAATGAGCTCTCCGACTCTCTGCTAGATAAACACTTGATCTCTTAGCTGGTCGAAGACTTTCTGCGCCATCTGCTTGCTTGCCTTTGCATCGTGCTGGCAAACGCACCCACTGTTTCCATGTTTCTGGTGTGTTCGTCTGCTTCCCTACTTTGCTGCCTTTCTTTCCTGACATGAGAACCAGTTTCCTTAGCCTTCCAAATTGAACTGTAGACCAGCGGCTCTCCAAGAATTCTCTAGGTCTTCAGCGTCAGATTAGGAATGCTGAAGCACCCCGCTTCATGGATGGAGCAGCTACAGGGCTCTCAGCCTCTCCCGTGTGAAGACAGCCATTGTTGGACTGCCAAGACTGTTACTGTGTATGGCCATCTCATGAATCCCATATTAATACCTATTCATTCCACAGTTTCCATTCCTTTAGAGAACCCTGACCAACAGAGATTGTAGTTAAGAGAAATGGTTCTAGAGAAACAGAATTATTTGGGATAAATTTCTCTAGTGGACCTGGTATCCAGAGCTGGCTATACAACTTGGTGAAATTTACAGTTACTAAATATTCCCCAGGTAGCACAAAGAGTGCTAAAAATCCATGGTGTAAACTACTTAACTAAGTTTTGTCATGTTCAGAGGATGTATTGCCTATGATATTCCCTGCAGTGTTTGCAGTACTTACCTAATTTGGGCATGTCACATTGAGGCACGTTCTATTACTTTATTGATGGAATGTAGAGAACCCTCAATTACAGAGCATTTGGTAGGTCGTCTCTTAAGAATGCTGGTGTCATATTTGTAAGAACCCAGGGGATGGTGTCTCTTGGTGATGAAATGGGAACTACTGTTCACAGCATCCCAAAGAATTCACAGTCCAGTCCTGAACAAATGTCATTTTCACTTTTCATTGCAAACATTTTCCCATTAGACACACAGACTGTGAGACATGTTAGGAAAACAAGATCACCTGTGCACATGAGTCATCAACAACTGTTACACATCTACATAAGCTACAATCCCGAGAAAGTACATAATACAATGCTTGAGACTAGGAACACGTGAACAGGCTGGAGTATCACTTTAAAAATTTTATTTTTATTTTGTGTGTATGTGTGTTTTGCAAGAGTGTAAGAACACCTGTGTATAAAATGTCCACAGAGGCCAGAAGAGGGCATCAGCTCGCCTGGAACAGGAGTTAGGACAGTTGCTAGGTACCATGTGGGTGCTGGGAACCGAACGCAGGTCTTCTGCAAGAGCAGCCAGTGCTCTTAACCACTGAGCCATCTCTCCAGTCCCTGGAATATTGTTTAATGTGGAAAAATTTAAAAAGGCTCAATAAAAAATAAAATAAAAACATGTTAATGTAAATCAAAACTTGCGTTACACTGAAACAGGAAATTCTCTTCTGCCAGGGTCACATTACGGAAAATGACTGATATGACATACATGTTGCAGGGTTTTAGAGTGAGGGGTGGTAGTCTAAGGGCTCTGCCAAATTTGTTCCATAGAATGAACAAAGTATTGAATGTCAGGACCGGCAGAAGACCAACGAAAGGAAAATGTAAAATAGCAGGAGGAGTGGGTGAGCGGCAAGTACAGCTGGACAGAAAGTGGGAGGAGATGGCAGGGAGCTGGAGGAGTGGTTGGCAGCTGGGGGCGGACATAGGGAGGAAAAGATAGCGGGAAGCCACAGCTTGGCTCTGTCAGAGTGGCTTGGAAGCCACTCACTGGGCAACCATGGGAGCCTCAGCCGCAAGGCAGCAGCCACAGGAGTCCATCCTGAAAGTGTCAGAGGAGGGCAGCGGGGAGGCGGAGAGTCCTAGACGCAGGCGCACTATGGCAGGAGCCAGAGTGAAGGTCAGACATGAGGGAGCCACAGATAGATGGAGAAGCAATAGCCGGAGAAAGAAAAGCCTGAAAAGACAAGCCACTGTGGCAGCCTAGAGAGCTGCGATCCCCCAGCAGGACCTTGGAGTCGACTTTTGTAGGCTCTGACTCCCTCCCCTTCTCTCACTGCTGTTGCCCAGTACCCTACATTGGGTGGGCTCTTCACGCTGGTGGGCTTCTTGGTCCTTTTGACTGTCAGCACTTGTAGTTTGGCCGTTACTGAGGCTGCCTATCACTACTAGTTGAAACAGCTGTAAAAAGCCTTGGGAGGGAGAGCAAGCATCAGCACTTCACAAAGGGCCCATTTCCCCAACTAGCCTCTGTTCCCATTATGGGAATTAACCCGACTTACCTAGCCCAGCAAGAAGCCTCAGCTCATACTCAGAAGTGGAGGAAATTTATCCTTTATTATACATGGGCTTCAGGCTGGGCTAACACACACCAGGAAGACCCAGGCCCTGAGCGAAGGTTTTTCTTGATATACACAGGTCTTAGTAGTCTGGCCCTTTCAGGGATTGTTAAAAAAAGGGAAATTCCTTTGCTGTCAAAGCATGTTTACAGAAGCAACAATCACAGCAGCTGTCCAGATCCCCTTCTCAGTATGTATTTATTTTGAAGCTGATTGTAAGACATGCATTTCTTTTTAATTTTTGGTCTTTTTGAGACAGGGTCTCCTTGTAGCCCCAGCTGACCTGGAACTCACTATGTAGACCAGGCTGGCCTTGAACTCACAGAGATCCACCTGCCTCTGCCTCCCAAGTGCTGGGACTAAAGGCATGTGCCACCACACCCAGCCAAGACAAGCATTTCTAAAAGTGGCATTTATAGCTACAGTGTATAGCTTTGTGGTTTCATTTTCCGGTGTCAGCTTAACTCTTCATGAGTCCAAGCAGAAACTTCCCAAGTCCTGTGACTCCTACATAGATCATCAAGCTACTGGAAAGGACACTCCCACTGTTTGAGCTGCCTGCAGTGTGCTCCAAGTGTCCTCCTTTTGAGAGCTGTCACCCATGCTGGGGTGGGATTTGGTGATACAGCTGTCTGTGAGTCATTTCTGCGCCTGCTACTTTAAGTAACCCCTCATCCATATTCCTGTAACTAACCCCAATAAAACTCGTTTCACCAAGTTTGACTTTGGTGGTCTCCTTCCTGTGGGCTGTCATTCTTTCCTGTGTGAGGTAAGTAGATGTTTGTTCATAAATACCCAGGAACAGTGTCACCCAACAGTCTCCCCAGCTCTACTTAAGAGTTTACAAATGTCCCTGGACATAGGTCAACAAATACTGACAGGCGGCATCATCAGTATTTATTTATTTCTTGACAGATACTGAAAGACATTTGAGAATCAGCTTCACATTTCTCTTTGAAAATTAATGTACAGATCCATAGTGATAATTTCTCTTGGTCCAAGATTTGAAACAAGCTTGGAAATTTTATTGAAACATTTCACACATGAAAGAAATGTTCACTTAGTTTCTTTAATGGAATATCCCTATCAGATAAAACATTCAGAATTTGTAGAAACTTTATCCTGGGATTTTTTCTTCCCCACAAAGTGACATGAGAATAAAGGAAGCAGGTTCTGTATGTCGATCAAGTCTCTAAACATGGCTAGTCACAGCAAACCTTTTAAAATTAACGATTGCTGTGGGTTTGCATGGTGCTATAAACAGATCATGCAGAATTATTTCTCAATACAAAAAGATTTGCAGATACATGTAGGAGGACCAAAGATTTCTCCCATAAAAGAACATCTTAAATCACTGTGCCCTTCTACATATGGTTCCTAAACATGTTAGAGGCCACCTGCACTTCAGGCCAACTATAGGTGAACATCTAGGGGGAATTTTGTCATGGAATTTTTTTTGGAGGGGGGGTTCAGGGAAAAAAACACCATCACATGCACTTATAAATAGAAGAGCTCAAGTACATGGTCTCACAAACAATAATGGATTGCAAACAGAGGCTGAGGTACAGAGCAAATGGATTTTACAGAGCTATGAGCATTCTGTTTATGACACTTCATCTTCGAGAGATGAATTCCAGCTGACTTTTCACAAACATTTCCCACATCAATACCTGTTTTAGGGTGTCTCTCCAGGTGAATTCAAATGCCTCTTGAGGTCTGACTTATAGCATGTGATTATTCCAGGTACACACACTGACCACATCTCTCATCTGGACAAGTGAAGGTTTGACATCCAGTAAAAGGGTTTCCCACATACATTACATGCATGTGCTTCCAACCAGAGTTGTTCAGACAGGTTTGCTTGTTGCTAAAGGCTTTTTCTATGTACGTTAAGACTCACGCTTCCTCAGATGTGTGAGTTCTCCAAAATGCAGAGATCTAACATATCTTAAAGGTCTCTCTGCTTACATTATACTCACCTATGTGCGTAGTTACTCACCTATGCAACTTCTTTCATGCACAGCAAAAGGTGACTTGTGGCTGAAATATTTCCTGCAGCATTTACAGCCATAGGGTTTCTCACCTTTGGGTTTTCTGGTGGACAAGGTTTGTCGCCCAGTGTTTTCTGCACATAAATAACATTCATAGAGTTGTCTGCCTGTATGCCTTCTTTGGTATGTAGTAAAGATGACTTACTGTTGAAAGATTTTCCACATTCATAGGATTTCTTCATAAAGTGTGAGTTACCTAATGACTGTTGAGATACGACATCTGCGGAAAGTTTCTACAGACATTACACAAAACTGTGTGTTTTGGTAGGCAGTGAATTGTATCTCATGCTAGTTTCTCAGTTTGTGAGTTCTCTGATGTGCAATGAAGTGGATCTTTGGTTTGAAGATAGTCTTACAGTTGTTTTAAATATAAAGGTTCTACCACCTGGGTGAATTCGCTGATGTGTGCCAGTTTGACATCTCACAGAGGTCATTCCACAAACATGACACTGACAGGTTTTCACACCTCTGAAGCCTCTAATGATCATGGACAAATGACAAATAGTTGAAAGTTTTTCTACATTCTTCGGATTCACAGCGGTTCTCACTCTCACGTGGGAGTTTTCAGACGTTCATCTAGGTGGAGGTCTGTTTAGAGGTTTGTCCACATGCATGTCACTGACAGTGTTTCTCACCTGAGTGAGTTCTCTGATGTCTAGTGAGATGGAACTTTAGACTGAATGACTTCCTACATTCCTTACATTCATAGGGCTTCTCACTTGTGTGAATTTTCTTATGTGTGTACAGGCTTGGACTCTGCTTATAACTTTTTCCACATACAGTACACTCATAGGGTTTCTCACTTGTGTGAGTTCTCTGATGTGCATGAAGGTGGGAGTTCTGCTTAAAGGTTTTCCCACATACACCACACTCATAGGGTTTCTCACCTGAGTGAGTTCTCTGGTGTACAGTGAGATACGATTTGAGAATAAATGATTTCCTACATTCTTTACATTCATAGGGTTTCTCACCTGTGTGAATTCTCAGATGCGTGTAGAGACTTGTTCTCTGCTTAAAACTTTTTCCACATGTAATACATGCGAAGGGTTTTTCCCCTGTGTGAATCCTCTGATGTACAACGAGAAATGACTTCAGCCTGAAAGTTTTTCCACATTCTTTACAGTCATATGGTTTCTCACCTGTGTGAGTTCTCTGATGTGCATTTAGATGGGCTCTCTTGTAAAATGCTTTTCCACATACACTACATGCATAGCGTTTTTCCTGTGTGTGAGTTTTCTGATTCACAATGAGTTTTGACTTCTGACATTCTTTACTTTCATAGGGTTTCTCACTTATGTGAGCTTGCTCATGTGAGAAGTTTGGTGTACAGTTTAAGGTTTTTCCACATGCATTACATTCATAGGCTTTCTCACATCCGGGAAGTTGCTGAAGTTGGTGGAGGTTTGAGTTAGTAATGGCTTTTCCAGACACACAGTGTTCATGGGGTTTCTCATCTGAGTGAGGATTCTGATAAACACTGCAATTTAATTTGGGACAAGCAGTTTTCCCATACACATTACTGTCAACACCCATGTAGAGTCTCTGAATATTATGTTGTGATTTCTGACAAGCGCATTTCTCATCTTTAGTATAAGCATCAGACGCTTCTCCTGCTTTAAAACTCTGACGTTTTGGGAGGTCTGACTGTGTATTGAGCATTGGCTCACAATCTTTGCCTTTATAACATTTTTTTTCTTTGTGTGTTTTCAAATGCTGTGTGAGCTTAAATTTCTTATAGAAAAATTTCCCACATACATTACATTCGAAAGTTTTCTCCCTTACCTGTGTCCCCTCTGGCACAGTAAGAACTAACTTCTCTAAGCCTTTCCCATATTCCCTGAACTTACTGGGATCACTCATAGGAAACATGTTATGCGTCCATACTTTATTCATGTGGAAGGCTTTACTATGCCCATAATACTGAAAATGCTGCTGCCCGTGTTTAACACTGTGATCTAGACTACGAGACTCAAGGAGTCTGGGGGACACTCCAGTTACATTAGGAAGATCACGTTCTTCTACAGCCTGCACCTCACTGGGCTCACTAGGGAGAAGCACATTATCCCATATGTTAAGTGCCTCAGGTCTCATTGCAGAAGCAATTCCGTTCTTTGCAGCCAGGCTTAGCACATGGTCTGTGCTACTGTGTTCTTGTCCTAATTCAGCCCTGTCCTCTGTTGATGTGCTGCTCTTGGAAATTACCAGATTCAGATCGCAAACATGTGTCTTTGCATTGTTCTGGATGCTCTCATTCAGGTCCTCCACAGTCTGCGTATCTACAAGGAAATAAAAGAAATGGAAGGGTTTCTGGGTTAGAACCTGTACAGACACACGTGTGGTACACTTGTCGGTTAGATCTGTACAGACGCATGTGTGGTACATTCCTCTGTCACTCAGGAAAGAATTTCTTGAGGAAAATGACGGTGGCACTGCCAACATTTTTCAAATACAAATCACCTTCCTCCCTGTACAGAAATTAATCGGTACTAGCCACAACACAGGAAGATCTGCAAAGATTTTGATCTATAAGCCAAGCTGTACCTATGATATTGGAAATTAGTGGTTTAGGTATATGTTGGACAAAAATAACTGTAGCATTTACCTGTTTACGTGTGCATACATACCCCTACCTATAAAATCATGTGCCTCTGTCTGTGCTTTGGATCTTTGACTATGTTAAATTTTCACGGGAAATGGGAGTTTCCTGTACAAATTTATCATATCTGTAGAGTAATTTCTACAGGGAAAGGTAAAAGGCTAACTACTTATTATAATCCCTCACAACATTGTTGAAGGATCCCTTCAACAAGTAATCTGTGGTCCATTTAACCTTCATGCCCAAGATCTCCTGAATGTAATAGTAAGCCTCAGAACCACCCTGCCTAAAAGCCTACACACGTTCTCCTACGTTCAGTAAGCTCTGGTATCTTCACACATGACTTGATTTTCAGCACCTTTTCTCATATTATCAATGCATTAGCTAACTCCCTACAAACTATGTTTTTAGTATTATCTTAAAATTAGTGATGCCAAAATTGAATTGTCTAATAAAATGACAATACTCTGAAGTAGAGAGTTAATATCAACAACATATTATATATAAAACAGTGATCTCAGAATTAAAAGAAAGTCATAATCTTTAAAAATTTTTATTTATTTTTGTGATGTGTATGAATGTTTTACATGCATGTATGTAAGTGCACCTGTGTCATTCAATGCTCAAGGAGGCCAGAAGTGGGTGTTGGGGCCCCTGGAAGTGGAGTTACGGACACTTGTTAGTCATCACGTGGGTGTTGGGACCTGGATCCTCTGTAAGAGCAACCAGTGCTCCTAACTGCTGAGCCATCTCTCTAGCCTTAATCTTAAACTGCGTGTTCTTTAGACCTTTGGTACTCTCTTCTTTCATTTGGGCAAGGAAACATTTTTTTTTCATTTTGAGGCTGCTTCTTTCAATGACAAAACTTTTCAACACAATAAAGCTCTGTAGCCAAAGATGAATTTGAGTCACCATGGCTTGTCTCCAAATAACAGACAAGTGTATATGAAAAGGAGCAAATAACAAGTAAAAAACATATGAATAAATGCTTGAAACAGGCCATGAGGCCAGAAAAAGCAGGACTTTAAATAAAATAACCTCACCAACAAAAATATCTAAGAGCCACAGACTGAATAGATTTTAGCCCAACTGACATATTGCAGAAGCTAGAAAGGGGGAATGAATTTACATGGGAGGGATTGAATAGAATTTGCTGAGCCTAAATCAATATTTTATAAAAATAGCAAAAAGGCCAGGTATGGTGGCGCACACCTTTAATCCCAGCACTCAGGAGGCAGAGGCAGGCGGATCTCTGAGTTCAAGGCCAGCCTGCTCCACACAGTGAGTTCCAGGAAAAGCAAAAAGGGGTAGGAACTCGTGGGGAGCCTTTCTTGGGAGACTGTATATAGTGAGTGTCTGATGATTAAGAACAGTTATCCTCAAATCTGGGACATGGAAAAATGGAGACAAGAACTCAGCAGAAACTTCCATCTGATGAGCTTCCTTGCCCAGGATGCAGTCACTGACCTGGCAGGCGCATGTCTGCGGTATCTTCTTCCTTCCACGGCCCGGCTTCTTGTTCCAACTTCAGGATCAACTCGGGTTTAATATTACACTGATCTGGTAATGGGAAATAGTGTACAAGATTTGGCAAATGCTAAGTTAGGACCAATGAAGATTAACAGTGTGTTAACCTCCTCCTTTCGGCAGTGACAGGACCAAAGGGAACATTTACAAGTGATTTAAGGACCTCCCCAGAGACTCTGCCAAGACATCAATTTCCAAGGCATATAACAGTCAAGCTGTTAAAAGTATAAACCAAAGGCGGACGGAACTCTACAACAGCAGAGAGCCGGCAGGAGTCACACACTGGCAATTCCTGCAATTGGGACAATGATGCAAGAGAACTAAACTGTACAGAATAGTCTGTGCAACTGCAGCCGAGAGTCTAGCTTTTAAAAAAGGAATTTTACAAATTAAACCGCAACAAATTAAGTGAGAAGACTCATTAAATAAAGGCACTTGCCTCTAATACTGCTAACCCAAGTTGAATCCCCTAGGACTCAATTATGGAAGGAGAGAACTCCTCCAAGTTGTCCTCTGACCTCTACATACACACCATGACACGCATGTATCCCCCTACCCCACCCAAATACAATAATAAAATAAAAAACCTTTAAGTGACAAGTCAAAATATTACATCGTGTTCTAATCAGCACTCATTACAGCAACAGGAAGCTTCTCCAACAGTCGTTAACAGGCCAAGAGAAAATAAGACGACATGTTCAAAGTACTGAGACTATTTCCAATCAACAATACCCAGAACAGCTTTCCGAAAAATGAGAGCTTTCACATGCTAACAAGTGAAAACATCCATTACTCCCAGACTGAACTGACAAGACGTGATTAAGGTAGTCCCACACTAGAAATCCCACAGGACTCTATCATCAGGAAAACATTCGAATGGCTAAAAACTCAAATGCAGAGCAGTTGTGCAAAAGAGAAACTGAAGAGATTAACTCCTATCTGTAGAGAATATCACCAGACAACAAGGGCTTATACTGAAGGAAGCACAGAACGTACGAAAAATACACAGCAACACAAAACCCTAGAGAACAGCGCCTCGGAAAGAACACCAACTATGACCGTAAACACCATATTCTCCAATCAGAAGGTGCAGGCCAGCTGAATGGCTAACAAAACACAGACCTAACCTAATGATGTGCTGTGTGAGTGCAGTGACGCACACAGACCAACACTGAAGGGACAGACAAGGGTGTGCTGTCCACATAGAGCTCAAAATTGAAGAGTGAATTACCCTTAAATAAGATAAAGGAGACCTTAAACTCAAAAGTATAGAAAGTCATTATAATGGTGCAGGCCAGCTGAATGGCTAACAAAACACAGACCTAACCTAATGATGTGCTGTGTGAGTGCAGTGACGCACACAGACCAACACTGAAGGGACAGACAAGGGTGTGCTGTCCACATAGAGCTCAAAATTGAAGAGTGAATTACCCTTAAATAAGATAAAGGAGACCTTAAACTCAAAAGTATAGAAAGTCATTATAATGGTAAGTGGATTGATTCAAAAAAGTAAATAAAACGGTGTGTATATATATATATACATATACACACAGACACACATTTATTACGTAGTTACACACAGATATTTTA